GTCATGTCTCCCTCGCCTATCCCCTTCATGACACCTTCAATCGCTTTTTTCTCCTCCTGCTTTCTTTCATCATAAGTTTCCCCTTCAGCTTCGTCTAGCCCATAGACAAAAACTGATCTCTCCCTTTCCACCTCCCACTGTGACTCCCATTGCATCCTCTGAGGTGTTTTAGTTCCTTCCTGTGGAGTGTTCCTTCAGTCCCTTCCCTAGCTGTGGCCCCTATGCTCATTGGTTTGTCCTTCCTGCTCACCTGTTCCTGGCCCCCACAAGTGTCTGGTAAGGTCCCTGCACATGTCCTAGTTCCTTCAATGTCTTCCAACCTCTCATTCTGTCCTAGTGTGCTCCCTGTCTTTGTTTTGGCCCCATGGGGGTTTGACAGGACCTCTGCATACAGTTTAGCTTCAATGCTCCCTTCAGATCCTTTGTCTGTGTCTGATGTAAACATTGCTGATGCTACTTCTGTATTATCTTTGTCTCTAGGCTGTTTCAGATTTCTCAGCTCCTCTTTTAATCTCTGTATCTTGGCTTCTGCTACTCAGGCATGTTGCTCCCACCTTCTGCATTCTGCTGCTAACCTCTCCTCCATCTTCCTTGCAAGCTCATCTAGCCTCCTTCCCCAGTCTTCCTCCCTTTTTTTGAGCTCTGCCTCCCCGTCCTCCCTCCCAGAGTCTTCCTTCGGGCCCTTGGCTCTCATCCTAGTTCTAGGTTGCCCCATTGCACCACAGAAGGAAGGGGGAGAGATGGTTAGGCAGAGGGGAATAGATGGTTAGGGGGAGGGGAATAGATGGTTAGGGGGAGTGGGGATGGATGGTATGGGGGAGGGGGAGGATGGTTATTGGAGGGGGGAGAGGTGGTTGGGGAGGGGGTTAGATGGTTTGGAGAAGGGATTAGATGGTTTGGGGGAGGTGTTGGTGGCTAGGGGGAGGGGGAGAGGTGGTTAGGGGAAGGGGGAGTACGTGTTTGTGTCAAGTGTATATGTGCTTGTGTATGTGTGCTTGTGTATGTGTGTGTGCATGTGTGGGAGAGGGGTGGGATTAAGGGGGAAGGGGGGAGGGGGAGAGAAGGATGAGGGTAGAGTGACACCTATAAGCAGGGGAGGTGTGTGTGTGTGTGTGTGATGGGATTAGAAGGGGAGGGGAGGGGAAGAGAAGGCTGAGGGTCGAGTGACCGTTTGATAACAGGGTCATTACGGGTGTGTGTGCGTGTGTGTATGTGTGTGTGTGTGTACATGTGTGTGTGTGTGTACCCGCCTAGCTAGGGTGTGTACTCACCTATTTGTACTCACCTATTTGTGGTTGCAGGGGTCGAGTCCTAGCTCCTGGCCCCGCCTCTTCACCGGTTGCTACTAGACCCTCTCTCTCCCCGCTCCATGAGCTTTATCAAACCTCGTCTTAAAACTGTGTATGGTTCCTGCCTCCACTACGTCATTTTCTAGGCTATTCCACTGCCTTACAACTCTATGACTGAAGAAATACTTCCTACTATCTCTCTGACTCATTTGTGTCTTCAACTTCCAATTGTGGCCTCTTGTTTCTGTGTCCCCTCCCTGGAACATCCTGTCCTTGTCCACCTTGTCTATTCCACGCAGTATTTTATATGTCGTTATCATGTCTCCCCTGACCCTCCTGTCCTCCAGTGTCGTCAGGCCGATTTCCCTTAATCTTTCTTCATAGGACATTCCCCTTAGCTCTGGAACTAACCTTGTTGCAAACCTTTGTACTTTTTCTAGTTTCTTGACGTGCTTTATCAAGTGCGGGTTCCAAACAGGTGCTGCATACTCCAGTATGGGCCTGACATACACGGTGTACAGTGTGTGTGTGTGTATGTGTGTGTGTGTATTCGCCTAGTAGAGGTGTGTGTGTGTATGTGTGTATATGTGTGCGTATGTGTGTGTGTTCATGTGTTTGGCGGAGATTGGTACTAGGGTCTAAAGCTTCTGTAAAGTGTCTACTCTTGTGTGTGTACTCACCTAATTGTACTCACCTAATTGTGGTTGCAGGGGACGAGACTCAGCTCCTGGCCCCGCCTCTTCACTGATCGCTACTGGATCCTCTCTCTCTCTGCTTCCTGAGCTTTGTCATACCTCTTCTTAAAACTATGTATGGTTCCTGCCTCCACTACTTCACTTGCTAGGCTATTCCACTTGCTGACAACTCTATGACTGAAGAAATACTTCCTAACGTCCCTGTGACTCGTCTGAGTCTTCAGCTTCCAGTTGTGACCCCTTGTCCCTGTGTCCCCTGTGTGTGTGTGTGTGTGTGTGTGTGTGTGTGTGTGTGTGTGTGTGTGTGTGTGAGTGAGGGAGAGATGGTTAGGGGGGTAGGGAAGGGGTTGTTGTGGTTGAAAGATCTATTATACCTCTCTGTCGTGTAGGTTCAAATTTAGTCCCAGTTGTCTTTCCTAGTATTGCTACTCTCTCCACTTATTGCCCTTTCTGGATTTAAGTATCAGTTACTGCTGGTTATTTTCCTATTCCTTGCTCACATTGAGAGAGGACTTCCTAGCTTCCTAAGTATTCATACTGCTAATAACTACCGATGGTAATACTACGTTACCCCTCACTGTGTTTGTTTAGTATTAAATTATTGTAAACAAATCTAAAATATATTTAGTTGGGTTAGGCTAAAATAAATTGATCTTTTTCTAATAAGGTTAGGTAAGTTTTCTAAGATTCTTTTGGTGCAAAATTAAAATTTTTTACATCAACATTAATGAAAAAAATATATCTTTAAACGTATAAGAGCAAATTTTAGAAAGGACTTAATTTTAAATGAGTTCTTGCTAAATGACCAGTTTTACATATTCGACACGACATATATATATATATATTATATATATATATATATATATATATATATATATATATATTAATATATATATATATAATAGCATAGAAAGCCACAGAGTAATCGAATTTTTGAGGGTATGTTTTTGCTGAGCGATTGGGTTCCATATCGGCTCCTAGTGATCTGGGCCAAAATCAACCCGGCTTCATTTCCTCGGATCAAGTCTAGCCGCTGAGAGTGTTAATGTCATATCTCACTTTCAAAGATCACAACGCTGTATCTTCCACAACTGCTAACAAAATAATAGGATGGATAATGAAAACCTTCAAAACTAGATATGCGAAGCCCTTGATTATTCTCTTCAAATAACTTGTTCTCTCTAGGTTGGAATATTTCTGTACACTAACGGCCCCTTTCAAGACAGGCGAAATTGCAGGCGTGGAGAATGTTCAGAAAACTTTCATGGCACGTTTAAGTACAATAAAGCACCTAAATTACTGGGAATGGATGAAGCCCCTTGATTCGTATTCTCTGGAATGCAGGGGAGAAAGATAATATATACTTTGAAAATCCTAGAGGGACTAGTCCCAAATTTGCACTCGAAAATTACTCCTTACGAAAGGAAAAGGCTCGGCAGGAGATGCAGCATTCCCCCAATGAAAAGCAGGGGCGCCACGAGTACACTACGAGACAACACAATGAGTGTAAGGTGAACAACACTGTTCAACAGCCTCCCAGCATACATAAGGAGAATTACAAATAAACCCCTGGCTGCTTTCAAGAAGGCGATGGACAGGCACTTAAACTCAATATCTGACCATCTGAGATGTGGTTCGCACTCTGTCCTCAATATTCAACTTATCCAGTTGTTGTAATAAAGTTGGTAGAATTACCGACAATATGTAAAGTAAAAGGACACAAGTGTAACTAATGTGACATTTTATTGTGGCAACGTTTCGCTCTTCAGGAGCTTTATCAAGCCATCGTAATGGCTTGATAAAGCTCCTGAAGAGCGAAACGTTGCCACAATAAAATGTCACATTAGTTGCACTTGTGTCCTTTTACTTATCCAGTTGTTGTAATTTATCCTGCCCTGTATACCATTTTAGACCCAGGTCCAGGATGAATATCACCATTTTGTTCTGTGTGATTTATAGTTTGTCTTTTATTTTATTTTGTTAAAGCAGAAAACCACGAAGAGCAAGAATAATCAACTTAATATTGTATGAGAGCTTCACTTGACACTCTGCCTCTATAATCTGTCTCGACAATTTGTTACCTGTTGCTCAAGTAGGACTTAAATCAGTTTACAGAGCCTATGCTGATAGCGTTTAGTTTCTTACATAATAACTAGCTGTATTGAAGGCCTTTTGCAAGTCAGGGTCATCATACCATTGAGATTCCCTAAAGATATCTGAGTTCTCAGGTAGTTCATCAGATTAATTAGGAAGGTGTCAGTCGAATAAGAACGCCTGAATCTTGATTGGTAACTATGAAGAACGTTTTTGTCAATAAGAAACTTAACTGCTTGACAATACACCCCTTTCTAGCAGGTTAATAGTTGCTGATATCACATAGCATTTCTGTAGAAAATAGGAGTAACTCTGGCCTCCCTGAACCTCTCTGGGATGGTATTGGTGGTGATGGACAAATTTATTATGAGCGCAACGGTGAGTGGCAATTCAGAGGCGCCATTTCATAGTAATCTGGCGAGATGTTATCTGGACCGGTGCTTTTAACTGACTTTAAATTAGTTCTTTTCGCAGGAAGTCATAAGATACATCTACAAGTTGGAAACTTCTTGGGGCGTTGCCTTCACTACTGTAGTAACTTTTAAACTTATTGTATCCTGTGTTAAGGGTATTTAATGCAGCTTAGTGATTAATATTAATTAAACAGTTATGTACAATGAATGAAAACAAACTGCCACTTTAGTCGTTATTGATATTTAACACTATGTAAGATTTATCTACGGGTTTATGGCAATACTCCAACTCTTCTAGTGTCTTGCCTTGGCTCCTTTTATAAGCTTCAACACTCTGTTACCGACCCTATGAAATCCATTTAGTGCTGTAACATCCTGTCTGTTTGACCTAAATCATTTTAGCAACTCATTCGTTTTGGAGACAAATTCTGTATTAAGTTGAGTCTGCTGTCAAATATATTCCGTAAAATTTGAGCACTGTGTAACATGATAATTTATCTTATGTACAGGTGTGCCAAGGTGACACCATTGTGGTCGACGTTAAAAACAACTTATTCGAAGATGGCATTACGATACACTGGCACGGCATGACTATGCAGGGACCCGAAAACTCTCCTGGCACTCCCTACATGGATGGTGTCCCATTCCTCACACAGTGTCCTATTCCTCCTGACACCTACTTCAGATATTCATTTTATGTTCCTGATGCTGGCACCTACTACTACCATTCACATGCTGGTTTGTATTCTTCTCTTAGTTGCAATGGGAAATTGTGATAAACTTTTGTAATTTTGGATAAAAGGTGGAATAAAATACAGACGAATAGGGATAGGACATATGTCAGTAAGTCATCAGTCCTGACGAAGCCATTCATGGTACAACATAAGAACATAAGAAAGAAGAAACACTGCAGCAGGCCTACTGACCCATGTGAGGCAGGTCCAAGTCACCTCCCGGCTTAAACTAATGGCCCACCTAATCAGGTTAGGTCACATCCGCTTAAGGAAAGAGCACAACATCAGACCTATTAACACAAGCTAGTCAGGTCCAACTCACACCCACCCACACCCACTCATGTATTTATCCAACCTTTTTCTAAAACTACACAACATCTTAGCTTCTATGACGGTGCTCGGGAGTTTGTTCCACTCATCCACAACTCTATTGCCAAACCAGTGCTTTCCTATATCCTTGCTGAATCTGAATTTTTCCAACATAAAACCGTTGCTTCGAGTTCTGTCATGACTAGATATTTTTAGCACGCTATTTACATTCTCCATATTCATCCCTGTTTTCCATTTATACATCTCAGTCACATCCCCCCTAATTCTTTTATTATTATTATTATTATAATCAAGGGGGAAGCGCTAAACCCATAGGATTACACAGCACCTGTGGGAGAGGGGTGGATGTGGAAAGTATTCAGGCCTAATTCAGGGAACCGGAGCACAGATCCAATTCCCTAGATCAAGAGCCCCTTATCAGTGTCAAGGAACCCCTAATTCTACGCTTTTCTGGAGAGTGCAGATTCAGGGCTCTCAGTTTATCCTCATAGGGAAGATTTCTGATACATGGGATCAACTTTGTCATCCTCCTCTGTACGTTTTCCAGAGCATTTATATCCAGAACTGTGCAGCATAATCTAAATGAGGCCTAACCAAGAATATAGAGAGTTGAAGAACAACCTGAGGACTTCCATTATTTATGTTCCTTGATATAAAGCCGAGGATTTTGTTCGCTTTATTGCAAATACTTATGCACTGTTGTCTTGGTTTCAGATTGCCGCTAACCAGAACTCGCAAATCCTTATCGCAATCAGCAATATAAAAATCTACATTATTTAGTTTATATGTGGCATGGTTATTTTCCTGTGGAATGTTAAGAACTTTGCATCTGTCTATAATAAACTGCATCTGCCACTTTTCTGACCACTGCATCAGTCTATTCAAATCATCCTGAGTGCTCTAATGTCTTCATTAGAATGAATTACGCAATGTATTTTGGTGTTATCAGCAAAATTGCTAATGTCGCTAATTACTCCCTAATCAATGACGTTAATATGAACTGTGAACAACAAAGGGCCCAATACTCATGACATGCCCTCACTCTGATTTTTACCAATTGATGCAAACTCTCTGCTGCCTGTCTGTCAACCACACCTCTTCCCAAGAAAAAATTTCTGCTCATATTCCACGTGCCTTAATTTTCCTCAATAGTCTTTGATGTTGAACTCTATCAAAAGCCTTACTGAAGTCCATATACACAGTATCATATTCATTACCATGATCTACCTCTACAAATACCTTGGAAAAAAAGTTAGTTAATTCGTAAGACAGGAACGCCCCTTTGTAAACCCATGCTGATATTCATTGATCAATTTATGCCTTTCAATATGGATACGAATTTCCTCGGCAATTATTGATTCCATAAATTTTCACACTATCGAGGTAAGGCTTACTGGTCTATAGTTCGAAGCTAAGGACCTGTCACCTGCTTCGCAAATAGGTATTACATTTGCCATTTTCCACCTGTCTGGCACTATGCCTGTTTGTAGTGATATGTTGAAAAGACTAGCCAAAGTTTGCTAAGTTCCTGATTCCTTTAAAACCTTTGCAAACAGTTCATCAAGACCTGGGGATTTGTACGGTTTTAATTTCTCTATTTGTCTGAGGACCGTGTCACTAGTTACCCTAATTGTGCATAGTTTACTATCGTCCTGTTCTACATAATTTATTATTTCTGGAATTTCGCTAATATTTCCCTGCATAAAAACTGAGAGGAAATAAGAGTTAAAAAATTCACGCATTTCCGTATCACTATCAGTGATCTAACCTGAGTTACTTTTGAGTGGGCCAATCTTGTCCCTAATCTTACTTCTATATACATGAAAAAAATCTTTTGGGTTAGTCTTCGAATCCCTTGCCACTTTAGCCTCATGATCTCTTTTAGCCCACACCCTCTTATGATACGCCTATATATGCTTCTCTTTTGACCAGTAAGATGTTTTTATCTATTGCTTATCCATTTTGGATAATTTTTGGTTGATGTAATTTCCCTACGTGGAACATAAGTTGTCTGGGCAGCTAGAACTATGCTCTGAAAAAGTCATATTGGCAACCAACACCATCTACCTGACCCATAGTCAGGTCGTTCCCATTTAGCCCACCCAGGTAATTTCTCAGTCCCATGAAATCGGCCAAGCAGAAGTCTGAAGCAGAAGTCTGAAGCAGAAGTCTGAAGCAGAAGTCTGAAGCAGAAGTCTGTAGCAGAGACTTGATTGTGATCACAAACTAAGTGTTTTGTAATCACTTTCCCCAAGCTCATCATTAACCTCAAGATTATTAACTAGTGATTCTTTGTTGGTAAGAACCAAGTCAAGCAGATTGTTTCCTCTAGTTGGTTCTGTCACAACCTGTTCTAAAAAGCAATCCTGAATCGTATCAAGAAAGTCACTAGACTCAAGATTTCCTGTCATACTGTTCCAATCAGTTTGTCTAAAGTTAAAATCTCCCATCAACTCAACATTTTCATGTCTAGATGCCTAATGAGTTTTGTCCCATAGCAGGTTACTGAACTCCCTATCAAGATTTGTGAGCCTATAAATCACACCCAGAATTAATTTGTTATGACTCTTGAGAAACTGTAGCCAAACAGATTCTGTGTCTGATGCTTCTGATCTTATATCATGTCTAAAACAATTTAAATTATCTCTGACATACATCGCCACTCCACCACCCTTCCTGTTGACCCTATCTGTGTGGAATAGCTCATAGCCTTGTATGTGACATTTAGAAAGCATTTCTCTATCGTTCAGGTTGAACCAGGTCTCTGTTATAGCAATAATATCTATATTGCCTACACTTGCAAGTAATCTTAGCTCATCTATCTTATTTCTTAGACTCTTACTATTAGTTTAGTAAACCTTATGGAAGTTAGTCACTCTCTGCCCTCTACTGTTTCTTTATTGATCAATTGCTTTGCCTTTATCAGCAACTTTATTTAGAATATTGTCTTTTAAACATATCCCTGAGGTATCCCGGTAATATCTGAGGTTTTCAACCCTACTACTGCAGCCTGATTGTTTCCCACAAACACCCATACCTCTATAATCTATCAGTTTAAAGTCCTAGACAAGCCATCAGTTACCCTCTCAATCGAATTGGGTAATGCAACCACTCCAGTCCCTGAGAGATGTACCTCATCCCTTGCTAAAAAATTTGTCCCAGTTATCAACGAATGGGATTGCAAATTCCTTGCAGTACCTGTCTAGCCAGCAATTTACATCAATTGCCCTAGACATCCATTCATTATTATAATCAAATAATAAAGTGCCCACTCCCCTTCTTGGCAAGATGCTACATATGACTGGAACACCTCCCTTAGACTTAATTACATCTATGGCTGACTTGTACTTATCCAGCAGCTCTTATCTCCTGCCCTTCCTGATATCATTTCCACCAGCACTAAGATAATGGGATTTTTCCCATTACCTGACATAATATTATCCAACCTGAGAGTAAGACACATGTGCAACATCTGGGTATCTTTATTGTAGACGTTTCGCCATCCAGTGGCTTTATCAATACAAATTCCAGGACATAACTTGAAGACAGTAGAACTATATACAGAAGATGAGGTAATCAGTCCCTCAACCTAGGAGTAGGTGCGAACAGCACCATAGTCGTGGAGATGGAGAGGTTGAGGGACTGATTACCTCATCTTCTGTACATAGTTCTACTGTCTTCAAGTTATGTCCTGGAATTTGTATTGATAAAGCCACTGGATGGCGAAACGTCTACAATAAAGATACCCAGATGTTGCACATGTGTCTTACTCTCATCTTGTCGGTATTATATACCATTCGTACACATTATCCAACCTGTTGACTATGTCATCAACACCAGCTACTGGGAAGCACACTGTCAAACGTTCCATCTCTGTTACAAAAAGCACTGTCCATATATCTTACTTGTGAGTCACCCACAACCAGAATGTTCTTACCTTGATTAGTAAAGGAGTTAGTGATACCTTTAACCTCAATAACCACTGAAGCACACTCATCTTGGAGATCACAGAATCGATTTCATACCTTCAGATCTTCTCTATTAATATTCCTTACCTTGATACTTCTACCTTTATTAGAGACACATTCCACTTGAAGTGGCTGCCACTCTTCAACTCACTGTTGGTAACCTTTTCCTCCACACCGACTCCACCCTTCGCACACTCACTCCCACACACACTTCACTCGCACACACACTTCCATCTACGCGAATTTTCAGCCTCCTATTTTCCTCTTGGAGAAATTGAACCTCCTCCTTCAACATTTTAACCTGAGATTCCAAAACACTACAACAACCCATGGTGCTCTATAAAGCTCCACACTAATCCCCCAGACAGCTAGGACAGGATGACCTTTCATGACCACTGACCTCAGCGTACGTGTTCTCATTTAAATTTTCTAACACTGTACATGTGTCTTATTTAAAATTTATAACTGTAAATATATGGGCGAGTCTCGAACACGCAATCAAGAAATCACCTGTCGCTAGAACTGTTACATCATACAGCAGTTTTAACAGGTGTTCCAAATTCAGACGACAAGTTTGGGTTATCAATATCGCTTCTTTCATCAGCATGTCTCTTTATGATCAGGGCCAAGAGCTGGATTTGAGAATACAGTTATTGATGAGAGAAATACTTTAAAAAACTGTAGCTGTGATCGCAGTTAGGGGCATTTGTTAACATTAAAGAATATTAAAGAATATTGGTTTGTGTTGTTCCTTAGTGAATTCTAGATTATAAGTTTGGGGATCGCCATTTTGTTAAATATTTTGCATGAACAATAACGAAATCACCAAAAGATTAATACATATCGATATGATTTACAAAGAGCGTCTTCAGCCCCGTTTAACAGCTGGACTCTTTCTGGTTTCGTAACAAGAAATTATTTAAGAATTCGCGATCATGCACCAAATAGATAAAATTTAAGATTTTTACAAGTAAAGTTGTTTAATTTATATATATATATATATATATATATATATATATATATATATATATATATTATATATATATATATATTATATATGTCGTGCCGAATAGGCAGAACTTGCGATCTTGGCTTAATTAGCAACGCTCATCTTGCCATATAGGACAAGTGAAAATTTGTGTTTGCAATAATTTCGCCAAAATCATTTTAAACCTAACGAGAAAAATATATTTCACTGTGTTTGTTTAGTATTAAATTATTGTAAACAAATCATTGAACGTAGCTCAGGTGTTGGAAGAGAACACCACGGATGCGAGTGATAGCGACGTGGTAGACTCATTAGCCAAGGCTTTAAATGTGCTATTGGATGACAAGAGTATTGGGCAGGTTGGGAGTCCAGACCTAGTTCTTGGGCCTGCTGTGGATCAGGGCATGGAACAGGGTAAGCGGTTGGCGCAGTTTGATATGAATGTCTTGATGCAAGCGGTGGAAGTGGAGGTCCACCGGGACACTGTAACAGACGACATGATGCAAGCAGAGGGAGCATCATGGAAGCGCGCTGCTGCGCTATCTGACTCCGAGGAAGTGCTTACACCTGCTCAGCGCACTGGGAAAAAGTCCTGGCGGAAGTTATGCAGAGAGGACCCAGCGGCCCTAAGGGGCAGGAGTTGGTTAATAGCGTTCCTAAAAGGGGGGGAGAGGGATCGAGGTGTCACGAAACGATCTGGTGGCAAGACAGTACCAGGGTCAAGAAGAAAAACCACTCTGTTGGCTTCAAGTGCATGACATTGAACGTTAATGGATTGCAATCAGAGAGAAAGTGTGTATGGTTAAGTGAATATTTAGTGCGTAATAGTGTTGATGTGATGTTCGTGCAAGAACACAGCTACAGACCAGGCTATGAGTTGAAGGTGATTGGGTATAATGTGTATGTGGAGCATGCGATAAGGTTGAAAGGAGGAGTTGCCATTCTGGTAAGGGAAACTAGCCCGTTCGTAGTGAGGCATTGTGAGGGTGGGGAGGGGGGGGTGATTCGTGTGGATGGGTGGTGGGGTAGGGTACAGATGAGTTTGGTGTGTATGTATGGTCCGGCAGAGGGAGATGTGCGTATTAAGAATAAATTTGTGAAGGATGTCATAGTATATTATTTGCGTGCTTTGCCTGGTGTAGCTGTAATTGGTGGTGATTGGAATTGTGTGATAAGGCGTAAGGACGTGGAACCTAGAGGGGCAGGGTATTGTTCGGGGATTTTGGGGGAATTATTAAATGGGGTGGGGTTAATGGACGTTGGGGGGGGGTTGAAGAACATACTTTTGTTAGATGTGGATATGCGGCTAGGCTCGATCGCTTGTATGTGCCCCAAACAGTAATAGCAGAGTGCGTGTGGTGGACGCGGTTTTTTCGGATCACAGGGGAGTACTGGTGGACCTAGAATGGGAGGGATTGCCTAGAAGGGGTCAAGGTTATTGGAAGTTAAATGTGAAGCTGTTGCAGGGTGAGGAATGTCGTCAGTCTTTTGCGCAATTGTGGGAACGGTTGGTGGATGAAGCGCCTGGGGATGATCAGGGCCGGATTAAGAAGTCTCCGGGCCCTAGGCTATTCGCTTACCCGTAACTCAAAGGGGCGGGGCCCCTTTGAGTTACGGGTAAGCGAAGCGACCCCTTCCAGCTTGGGAGTGGGGGGGGGGTCGGTGTGAGCCTGTTCAAGGTCTAATTAAATACATTCTGGCTATTTAGATTAAATTTAATAGGGAAAGTACATCAAGACAACCAAAACCATTTACCAACAGCCATTATAACTATCTTGTTAAATCATGCATTTTAAAGAGAATAAACTCAAGACAGCATAGTATTACTAGATTAGGCTATTAAAGTAGTGACATCATGTACCTATTATATTCGGCATAACCACTACAGCACTATTATTCCCTTTATAAATCACTGACCATTATTGTTATCATTGCATCATGCATAAGACTATCAAATCATATAAACTCAAGAAAGTAAAGAATTGTTTATATTCACAGGCACTTCTTAAATAAACTTTTTTCTGGATTTCATATTGGCAAAATCATCAATTATATTCTGAAAATCAATATTTCTTGTTAGATCAGATTCAATGGTCAACAAGGCTAGGTTACACAATTTGTCTTGGCTCATTGTTGAACGGAGCTGGTTTTTCACTCTTTTCAAAACAGAAAATGAATGTTCTCCTTCACAGTTAGTAGCTGGAAGTGTTAGGTAAAGGCGATACACTATGTCAACATTAGGGAAGGTTTCTGAGATACCTGCATTTCTTAAATGTTTCAAAGCAGCTGAGGGCGCACATTTTTCAGGTGGAGCTTTAATCTGATTCATATACCCAGAAAAATGAACTATTTCTTCAACAAATGTGTCCTGAACATCTGCTGAAAGGTGTTGTTGCAACTTTAATGCAGCTTCTCTCAATTCTGCATCTGGCATAGTAGTAATTTTGAACAGAAATCCAAACTTGTCATTGAGATTCTGGTAGATTTCTTTTCTTTTCACCAATTCTGTAATCAGTGAATCCAGAATGACGAAGTATGTAGCTGTCTTACATTTCTGCCTTGGTAGCAACACAATTTCATTGTCTGACTCTTCAAAATTGCGTTTCCTCTTCCTTGACCGCTGATGATCAGCCCGGTAACTGTAGTTTTTCACCAGCAGTTTAGCTTTCTCTTCAAACATTTCAAAAGCTTCATCATTGCGAAGTGAGCTTACAAATTCCACTAAGCCTGCATAGAGGTTAGCACAAGTAGCCATTTCAATTTCAATTTTCTGAAGTGTCTTGTTCATGGCATTTAACCGTTCCAGTATACAGTCCCAAAGCACACAGAGTAAGGCCAATTCAAAATCGGCCAATTTTGATGCTAAGCTGGCTGCTTCACTTCTTGTAGTTGCTGTCTGGTCTTCATCCTCTGCTATTTGGATCAAAGCAGAACGTATTTCAGCAAAGCTGTCTTTCAAAGCATGTGTTGCATCATGCTGCGCTGGCCACCTTGTTGTTGATAATGATTTGATGACATAATGATTTGATGACATCTCCATGAATGGTTGACTTGAGTACACTCCACCGATGCGTTGAAGCAGAGAAAAAATTAATGAGTGCTTGTAAAAGTCCAAAAAATGAAACTGCAGCGACACAACACTCCGCAGCACATGACCCAACAAGATTAAGATTTGCATTATTTAGTTTATATGTGGCATGGATGAATCTTATTGTAGCTAGCTGGTCCAGTGGCTAACGCGTCGGTCTGGAGTTTTATGACTCCCTGAAAGCGGAATCTAACCCCACCCGTGGTACAGTTTAGGTCTGTATTAGTTGTATCAAGTAGTAGCAAAAATGAATGTTGTTTATCCTTCTGTGTCACTATATTAAAATGGCCAGAAAACCTTCCACTGAATATTTTGTTAAAAGTATTCATAATTTGAATTTTGTATTTGTATTCTCTTTTTAGTTGCAAATTTGTATTTTATCCTGGATATCTTTACAGAATTTCAGCGAGGTGATGGCCTGTATGGCGGCATCATCGTGCGTCAGCCGCCTGGGGAGGATCCCAACTATAACACCTATGACTTTGATCTTCCTCAACACACTATATTGGTATGTTATTGTAATGGATCTAATTATTTTATTATTTGTTATTCTCTTTAGCACACGTTAAGTGCTTTGTCAGATTCCCTGAAGAATCTTTGCGTAAGGTAGAAAGGACATCATATTATCTGGAGAGAGTTTATCTGGAGAGAGTTCCGGGGGTCAACGCCCCCGCGGCCCGGTCTGTGACCAGGCCTCCTTAGGTCAGTGTCCCAGGATGCGACCCACACCAGTCGACTAACACCCAGGTACCCATTTTACTGATGGGGAACATAGACAACAGGTGGAAAGAAACACGTCCAATGTTTCTACTCTGGCTGGGAATCGAACCCAGGCCCTCACCGTGAAGCGAGAGCGTTAACCACCAGGCCACCATGGGAACGACATGAAAGACTTCATTTCTTCTAAAATACAATTGTTTGATGCACAACCACACTGTTGCACAAAACGACATAGTTCAATAGGCTTTAAGCCCAATTAAGCTATAGACACAACGATATACACAGGAGTGTCTCTCTCACTGTTGCTGTGCAGTCTTGAACCTAATAAATCTAATAAACTAACCAGCCTGTAGACCCTGGGTTGTACTATACACCGAGAGGTACTCACCTATTTGTGGTTGCAGGGGTAGATTCATAGTTCCTGGCCCCGCCTCTTCACTGATTGCTACTAGGTCCTCCCTCTCCCTGCTCCATGAGGTTTATCAAACCTCGCCTTAAAACTGTGTATGGTTCCTGCCTCCACTACGTCACTTTCTAGACTATTCCATTTCCTGACAACTCTATGACTGAAGAAATACTTCCTAATGTCCCTTTGACTCATAGGAATCTTCAGCTTCCAACTGCATCCCTTGTTTTTGTGTCCCCTCTCTGGAACATCCTGTCTTTGTCCACCTTGTCAATTCCTCGCAGTATTTTATATGTCGTTATCATGTCTCCCCTGACCTCCTGTCTTCCAGTGTCGTCCGGCCGATTTCCCTTAACCTTTCTTAGTAGGATAATTCCTTTAGCTCTGGAACTAGTCTCGTTGCAAACTTTTGCATTTTCTCTAATTTCTTGACATGCTTGACCAGATGTGGATTCCAAACTGGTGCTGCATACTCCAATATGGTCTGGCGTATATCGTGTACAGAGTCTTGAACGATTCCTTACGGAGGTATCGAAACGCTATTCTTAGGTTTGCAGACGCCTGTATGCTGCAGGCATACAGGCGTCTGATGTGCGCCTCAGGAGATGTGCTTGGTATTATACTCACCCCAAGATCTTTTTCCTTGAGTGAGTTTTGCAGTCTTTGGCCATCTAGACTATGCTCTGTCTGCAGTCTTCTTTGCCCTTCCCGATCCTCATGACTTTACCAACTGCTGGACCAGGCTTGTAGCCTGTCCAGGACTCTTTGTAGTCCTGCTTGATCCTCGACCAATTTAATTCTCCTCACTAACTTCACATCATCGGCAAACAGGGACACTTCTGAGTCTATGCCTTTCGTTATGTCATTCACATATTCCAAAAAACAGCACAGGTCCTAGGACTGACCCCTGTGGAACTCCGCTCGTCACAGGCGCCCACTCTGACACTTCGTCACGTACCATGACTCGTTGTTGCCTCCTGTCAGATATTCTCTGATCCGTTGCAGTGCCTTTCCTGTTATGCGTGCCTGATCCTCTAGCTTTAGCTTTAACCTCTTCTGAGGAACTGTGTTGAAGGCCTTCTTGCAGTCCAAGAAAATGCAGTCTATCCAACCCTCTCACTCGTGTCTTACTTCAGTTACCGTATCATAAAAGTCCAGTAGGTTTGTGACACATGATTTTCCTTTCCTGAAACTTTAGTCTTTCTAGGTGATCTACCACTCTCCTCCTGATGATCTCCACGACTTTACATTCTACATACGTCCGTGACACTGGTCTGTAGTTTAATGCCTGGTATGTCTCCTTTCTTAAAAATTGGGACTACATTTGCCATCTCCCATACCTCAGGTAGTTAGCCAGTTTCAATGGATGTGGTGAAGATCTTTGTCAGTGGCACACACAGCATCTCTGGTCCCTCTCTAAGGACCCACGGAGAGATGTCTGGTCCCACCGCCTTAGAGGTATCAGATTCACATAGCAGTTTCTTCAACTCCTCCTCGGTTATGTGTACCTCATCCAGCACTTGTTGATGTACCTCCCTGTTCTGAATTCCTGGAGCCCTTCCTGTCTCCACTGTAAATACTTCTTTAAATCTAATGCTGAGCTCCTTACATACCTCTTGGTCGTTTCTTGTGAACGCCCCACATTCCTTTCTCAACCAAATTACCTGGTCCTTGACTGTTGTTTTCCTCCTGATGTGGCTATACAACAGCTTCGGGTCTGACTTGACTTTCGATGCTATGTAATTTTCGTATTGTCGCCGTGCATATTCGTTTCTGGCTCTTCGGCTAATCTCCTTATTTTCCTGGGTCCTTTGTCTTCTGTACTTTTTCCATTCTCTAGCACACTTAGTTTTTGCCTCCCTACACCTTTGGGTGAACCAAGTACTCGTTCTGCTCTTCCCATTATTTCTGTTTCCCTCGGGAACAAACGTCTCCTCTGCCTACTTGCATTTTGTTGTCACATAGTCCATCATGTCTGTTACTGGTTTTCCTGCCAATTCTCTCTCCCACTGAACATCTTGCAGGAAGTTCCTCATGCCTGTGTAGCCCCCCCTCTTGTAGTTTGGTTTCCCCGTCCTATTCCTGCTACCCTCTCCACTTATAGCTCAACTATGTAATCAAAGCACAGAACCACATAATCACTAGCTCCAAGGTGCCTTTCTTACGAAATATCCTCGATGTTCAAACTACTCAAGATGAATACCAGGTCCAGTTTTGCTGGATCGTTCTCACCTCTCTCTCTCTGGCAGTGTATCTAACATGTCAGTCAGTCAGTCTCCTTGTGACTGAAATCACCCATAAATTTGATCTCCCCATGTGAGCTCTTCTGGCCACCTCGGCTAGTGTGACTACCATTGCTCTGTTGTTCTCGTCATATTCTTCTCTTGGCCTCCTGCAGTTCTGTGGCGGGTTGTACATTTCTGCAATTATCACCTTTTGGCCCTCAGACTGGATTATTCCTACTATGTAGTCCCTTTCGCCCATTCCATCCATTCCATTTCCTCAAATCCCCACCGATTTTTAATGAACAGTGCAACTCTTCTTCCCCCTCTGCTCCCTCTATCTTTCCTGAGGATTTGATATCCGGACGGAAAGATTGCATCTGTTATCATTCTGTTGAGTTTCATTTCTGTGCTATTATGTCTGGGGATGTCTCCTTGATTCTTTCATGCCACTCCTCACACTTATTTGTTATTCCGTCTGCATTTGTATGCCAAACCTTCAACTTCTTTACTAAAACTGTTGTCTTAGTAGTTGCTATGAAGGTGGAATGGTGGTTGGGGGGCAATGGGTATGGCATGTGTGTTTTGGGTTAAAATGTGTGGTTGTATTGGGGTTGTCCTGTTTGTGGGTCTTCTGTGTGTGGTTGTGAGGGAGGTTGTATTTGATCTTCCTCTTGAGTCTGGGTTCTGTCCATTTCCATCTTCACCTCTCTTTCCTCCTTTCATCTTTGTATCATCTCTTTCAGTTTCTGCCTTCTCGTGTTCTGTCTCAGTCGAGATTCACCTTCCGGTACACCAGCATGTCCCTTAGTCTTGCTTTCTCCTGCAGGATCCTGTTTTGATCCGATTCTACCTTGAAAATCACTCTGACTGGCTGATGTTCATCTCTTAGTATATGTTCGCTGAGTATTCGCTTTAATTATAATTTTAGAGACTTAAATATCCTTGTGGAAAACAGAACAAGTTACATGCAGCCCTGATCATCCATTGTCTATTCGATATCCCTTACACGCATTTAGCCAATTAATATAAAGGTTTCTAACATAACAAGTGCGCATATTTCATTCTATATATGCTGAGAGTATACTTTATTTTAATTTTTAAAGATAAAATTATTACCAGCTGGAAGTGTAGAGGATACAAGTAGCTGTGATGACTCGTGTACTACATAGTCTTAAAGCTGAGTATACCAAAACAATCCAACAATGTTACATATATTATGACGTTTGTGTCTGTTATTATTATAATTAACATTTACTGGTGACTCATAGGGTAAACGCAGTTTTAATTATCCTTGTAAAGAGATGCTTTAATACCAAGTAGACAAAATAGACCAAGAGGGATATATATACAATGACAGGTATATATGTTTGTTCTGTTTAAATGAGAAGAAGCATTTATTTTCATTTTAGGGATGAAGAATTTGTTCACTAGTGAGTTTTAAGTGACTTTAATCCTTCATTACCCTTATATAACAGATAGGCTTCAAACCTAATTAGCTAACTTATAACACTCGTATATTTACAACTCTCGGGTGATATTTTTTCAATATTTATTGAATAATTCATATTCTGAATAATTCATCTTTTTAAAAGGACAATGAAAATTATTTTGTGTGTTAACATTTTAAATTATTTTAAGATATTTCTCTACATATAATCTCATATAATTCATCATATCCTAAAAGATTATTGGGATGGAATTTTGGGAAACTTTCCACAAACATCCTGATGAGTTATAAATTTACATGAAGAGATCAAATCGGATCATTCAGAGTAAAGAATGTCAGAGACTCGATCCTGTTTCCAGTTAGTGCGATACAGACCAAGAAGTGTAGCTCAACTCTCAGAGACTTGTTTTTTTTTTTTAGATCATTTACGGTGTTTGTCTATTTCACTCACAAGAAAGCATTACGGAACTTGGTAGACACCGACACAAACCGACAAGTAGTGATACCGACACAAACCGACAAGTAGTGATACCGACATTGTTAGATAAGTAACTTTCCAGTTCCTAAGTTTCAGGCTGGATTTTATTAAGTAAATCTCAACATGGAAGGATTTATTAAAAGGACCTTTTAATAAATCCTTTTTTTCCCGTTACAGAACATAGATTAATTATGAAAAAATAGTAAAAATGAGTTCTTATACATTAAAAAAAATATAATTACGGGTAATAGGTTAATTATCCCCAACACAAAATAATTTTTATTGCAGGTCCAGGACTGGATGCACAAACCAACAATTGAAAAATTTATTCATATGGCTTATGGGAATGGAAGTGAGTCTCCAGAGTCAATGTTAGTAAATGGTCGAGGCCCTTACCAGGTGGGTGCTACTGCTATATACGTATATGTAGTGCCGAATAGGTAAAACTTGCGGTTTTGGCTTAAATAGCAACGCTCTTCTTTCCGAAGAAGGCAAGAGTAAGTTTGTGCATGCAATAATTTCACTTGCCCAACGAAAAAATATATTTCATTTTGTTTATTATTAAATTATTGTAACCTTATCTAAAATATATTTAGTTGGATTAGGCTAAATTAAACTGCGCTTGTTTGTGATAAGATAAGTTTTCTAAGGTTCTTTTGGTACAAAATTAATTTTTGCATTAACAAAAATATAAAAAATATATTTTTAAACGTATAAGAGAAAGCTTTAGAAAGGATTTAATTTTAAATGAATTAACATAAGAACATAAGAAAGAAGGAGCACTGCAACAGGCCTACTGGCCCATGCGAGACAGGTCCAATTCTTGCACCGGCTTAAGCCAATGCCATAATCTAGTCAAGTCAGGTCACATTCACTTAAGGAAGGAGCACGGCATCTGACTAGCACAAGTCAGTCAGGTCCAACTCACACCCACCCACACCCACTCATGTATTTATCTAACATATTTTTAAAACTACACAACGTTTTAGCCTGAATAACTGTACTCGAGAGTTTGCTCCACTCATCCACAACTCTATTACCAAACCAGTGCTTTCCTATATCCTTCCTGAATCTGAATTTTTCCAACTTGAAACCATTGCTGCGAGTCCTGTCTTGGCTGGAAATTTTCAGCACGCTATTTACATCCCCTTTATTTATTCTTGTTTTCCATTTATACACCTCGATCATATCCCCCCTAATTCTACGCCTTTCGAGAGAGTGCAGATTCAGGGTCCTCAGTCTATCCTCATAGGGAAGATTTCTGATACATGGGATCATCTTTGTCATCCTCCTTTGTACGTTTTCCAGAGCATTTATATCCATTCTGTAATACGGTGACCAGGACTGAGCAGCATAGTCTAAATGAGGCCTAACCAAAGATGTATGGAGTTGAAGAACAACTTGAGGACTTCTATTATTTATACTTCTTGCTATGAAGCCAAGGATTCTGTTAGCTTTTTTTGCGAGCACTAATGCACTGTTGTCTTGGTTTTAGATTACTGATAACCAGAACTCCTAAATCCTTTCTGCAGTCGGGTATTATTAAGATCTACATAATTAAGTTAATATATGGCATTATTTTCCTGTCCAACATTTAGAACTCTGCATTTATCTATGTTAATAAACTGCATCTGCCACTTCTCCGACCACTGCATCAGTCTATTCAAATTATCCTGGAGTGCTCTGTCCTCATTAGAACGAATTGGACGGCCTATTTTGGTGTCATCAGCAAATTTGCTTATGTCACTGTTTATTCCCTCATCTATGTCGTTTATTTAAATTGCGAACAACGAGGGGCCCAACACTGGCCCTTGTGAAACACCACTTGTGACGTGCCCCAAATTCTGAATTCTCCTCTGCTGCCTGTTTGTCAACCATGCCTCTACCCAGGAAAAAATTTCTCCTCCTATATCGTGAGCCTTAAGTTTCTCAATATCCTCTGATGTGGAACTCTATCGAATGCCTTACTGAAGTCCATATACACAATATCATATTCAGTACCATGATCTACCTCCTCAAATCCCATAGTGAAAAAGTTAGTAAATTCGTAAGACAGGAACGCCCCTTTGTAAAACCATGTTGAGATTCATTAATCAGTCTGTGCCTATCAAGATGGATACGAATTGCTTCGGCAATTATTGATTCCATAAATTTACCAACTATGGAGGTACAGCTTATTGGTCTATAGTTCAAAGATAAGGACCTGTCACCTGCCTTGTAAATAGGTATTACATTTGCCATTTTCCTCTGGTCTTATATATTGAAAAGATTAGACAAAGGAATAAGTTCCTCTTTACAGTCCATTAAAACCCTTACAAACAGTTCATCAGGGCCTGGGGAGTTGTTTGGTTTAAATTTCTCTATTTGCCTGAGGACCATGTCACTAGCTATCGTTCATAGTTTATTATCATCCAGTTCTACATAATTTATTATTTCTGGAATTTTGCTAGTATCTTCCCGATTAAAAACTGAGAGGAAGTAAGTGTTGAAAAGTTCACACATTTCCTTATCACTGTCAGTGATCTGACCTGAGTTACTTTTAAGTGGGCCTATCTTGTCCCTAATCTTCTGTATACCTGAAAGAACCCTTTTGGATTTGTCTTCGAATCTCTTGCGACTATAGCCTCATAATCCCTTTTTGCTTTTATTCCTTTTTCTATTTCTCTCTTTAATTGAATATACTGATTTCTTAACTGTACATCCCCTCTTTTGACTTGTCTATATGTGCCTCTCTTTTGACCAGTGAGATGTTTTAATCTATTGTTTATCCATTTGGGATCATTTCTGTTAAATCAAATTTACCAACTTGGAACAAAAGTTGTCTGGGCAGCTAGCACTATGCTCTGAAGCACGTCATATTGGCAACCAACACCACCTACCTGACCCATAGTCAGGCCATGTCAATTTAGCCCACCCAGGTAATTTCTGAGTCCCATGAAGTCGGCGAAGCAAAAGTCTGGGACAGAGACTTGACTGCAGTTAACTGGGCAAATCAATGATATTTTAAAACAAAGTGTTTTGTAATCACTTTCCCCAAGCTCATCATTAACCTCAAGATTATTAACCAGTGATTCTTTGTTGGCAAGAACCAAGTCAAGGAGGATGTATCCTATAGTTGGTTCTGTCACAAACTGTTTTATAAAGCAATCTTGAACCATATCAAGAAAGTCACTAGAATCAAGATTTCTTGTCACATTGTTTTAATCATTTCTCTGAAGTTAAAATCTTCTATTAACACAACATCTTCATATCTAGATGCCTTATGAATTGCGTCCCATAACAACCTACCACCCTCCCTATCAAAGTTCGGGGCCTACATATCCCCATTCAAAATCATCTCTATTTCTGTAACATATTGTTCATTATATCAAATGAGACCAAGAGAACGAGAATTCAATCACTGTGAAAATCCACCACAAAGTCTCTGTAAGCGTATTTTTGGGGCTCTGAAACGGATTAATCTGATTTACATTATTCCTTATGAAAAAAATTCGTTCGGCACTTGAACAGATTGGTACTCGAACAGCCTTCTGGAATGAATTAAGTTCGAGTACCCAGGTTCCATATATATATATATATATATATATATATATATATATATATATATATATATATATATATATATATATTTATATATACATATTTATATATACAATAAGATCACAGTAAACAGGTGATATCAGAATATGCAAAACAACCACTGTGAAAGAATAGTGAAATACCAAGCGCTTTCGTGACTTCTCACATTATCAAGGAACTATAAAGGACAAAACGTCAAAGGAAGGCAAATAATGGGTCAAGACTACACCTCACCATCACGTCACCTAATACTCTACCCAAGAATTAAGATTTAATGCTTGTCTAATGTATCATTAAATTCTTCCAAAATTTTGTTAATTATAATTGAATCCAATTTATATAAACCAAAATATTCATAGTTTCAAAACTACTTTTCATGAAACATGATTCAACTATATTCCTGTCGACCATGGATTTGTTTGATACAACTTTCTCAGCCTTTTGAAAATCAAATGGATGGTTAAAATCTCTCACATGAATAAATAGAACATTAGAATCTACTGTCATTTTGCCCTACATCGTATCTTGTATACTTATTTATCCTCTTTTTCTTAAAATATGTATTACCTATAATTAAATCTCTTTCTATACAAAGTTTATTCAAAGGGCCCTCAATATCATTTACACCTGGCACCCCAAACTTACCTATCACACCCTCACTAAATGTTTCACCTACTTTAGCATTTAGGTCCCCTTCCACAATTACTCTCTCACTTGGTTCAAAAGTTCCTATACATTTGCTTAACATCTCCCAAAATCTCTCTCTCTCTCTTCTCTACACTTTTCTCTTCTCCAGGTGCATTCACGCTTATTATGACCCACTTTTTGCATCCGACCCTTATTTTAATACACATAATTCTTCAATTTATACATTTATATTCCCTCTTCTCCTTCCATAACTCCTCCTTCAACATTATTGCTACCCCTTCCCTAGCTCTAACTCTCCCAGATACTCCTGGCTTAATCTCATTTATTTTCCCCAACGAAATTCGCCTTCCCCCTTCAGCTTTGTTTCGCTTAGGGCTAAGACATCCAACTTCTTTTCATTCATAACATCAGCACACACACATATATATACATACATTATATATATAATAATATATATATATATTATATTATAAATAAATATATATATATATATAAATTTATAATATATAAATATATATATACATAATTATCATCCGAACCCAAGCTGCTTTGGCCCATCTCATTGTGAGCGAAAACGCATGATGCCTTAGACCACTAGACCACACAATCCTTAACAATGATGCATCTAGCCAAGCTTGATGTTGTACCCACCATCGAAGGACATGAGGTGGTGTGGACGCCTCTGATCTAATTTCATTCTACTCTTAAGAAAATCAGGAACCATGAACAGAAATACTCCTGATAAATCACCTTACCTGATCAGGAGAAGAATGGAGGTGAAGTGACTCTCCAAACTTCAACCCACACCAGGTAAGGTCAATACTACCAAGAACAGAAATTAAAGCAAATCACACCCATGGAACTGGAGTCTAGCCACAGCCCGCTAGATGGAAGTGCTGGCAGTAATGCCCTAATGGTTCCTGGGTGTCTGAACAACCATAACCTCACTTATTACCGGCTTTTCCTTCACACACACACACACACACACACACACACACACACACACACACCAGGGGGAGAAGAAAGCGATCGAAGGTATCATGAAAGCAATAGGTAGAATCAGCTCAAACCAGGATCCTGCAGGAGACAGCACAACTGATGGACAAACCAGAGTACCGGAGCGTGTACCTCGATTGTGACAGAACACAGGAAGAAAGGATGATACTGGGTGA